TATACCCTGGTGTCGCAAACGTGCGCATCAGAGATGGACGCGGTTCAACCATTTTGTTAGGCATCTCCATTTTCTCCCCTCATCTTTCCACCCCTCCCTCTCACTGAGAGGAGACATGTGGCCATGTGTGTATGTGTACTGTTTATGGGTCACTGGCAGGGCAAGGCATCCCTAGTTCGGTGCCGAGCGGTCTGAGAAAGTGTAGCCTTTCTCACCTAGGCCAGCATAAGGCCAGAGTTCCCAAGAGAATTGGAGCTTTACTGACCAACGTGCCTGTGTAGTTTCACACCTCATAAAACAGTTAAGGAGCCTTCCCAGAAGTTGAAAGAAATGCTGATCTGATGAGCCTAACTCAGTGGAGGTGACAGAATCAGATAAACTCTGTTAAACAAGATTTTTCCACTATGTCTCATATCTTGGAATATGAGAGACTTACATAAAATCCAGACATCCCGTCATATTGGCTAGGAGCAGGTGAACAGTTTGATGGGTCATTCGAATTATCTCGGACCATCAGGGGAGCCAAAACATAGAACTCGTGAACCGTGCAACATATAATTTCATAATTCATATCTAGATAATCCTCAGATTTGTCTGCATAATAATATACCTACGGGTAAATTGTCGCGTGTGCAGCTGGGAAGTTATAGACCAGAATATGAATTATGAAAGATGTTGGTTCCAATTTTGGGTTCCGCCTGCCGATCCCTCCCTAAACAGAGTATTGGTCAGTTACTCAGAATCACTCCCCTGCTGGGACACTTTAAAACAGGCTATCAAGCCTAAGAAAGTAAGTTGAAAACATCTCCCAATTCTTAACATCAATATACCACCTGGGGAGACCTTTCGCTCTGAAACGTGATTTGCATCCATTCAAGGCTTAATGGAAAGTAACTTAAACCTTTAACTTCTCCCTGTTATCTCTTTGATGTGTGCTGTTTTCTATGTGTATATATATATATATATATATACATATCTTAGTTACATCTTCTCTGTAAATATTTTATTGCACCTGTTTGACCCTTTTAGTAATAAATCTCTCTTTCTGAAAGTATTGAACTGTTTCTATAGCTCTTAATTGCAATTTCCGAATCCCTGCCTTTAAAGAGACGCTACTGTTTGTTTTAACCCTCTGTATAACAGGCCTGTATTATGACCAGGTTATGCAGTTGATTACATCAACCCTTATAGTGTTATAGCAGAACGTCGAGTTTCCTCTTTCTCTGATCAAAAAGGAGGTGGTGGCAGTGTTAAGGGGTTAATTGCGTAATTAACCTGACCCAGTAACAATCGATTCAGGCTGCTGGCACATCGATCGGTATCCATTAGCTGGAAAATCATTGTGCAGGGTGCAGCTGGGTGTGGCATTGTTACACACGTCACATCGCGGTTTTAGATTGGCCAGTTCTTCAGTCATGAGTTTGGTGAGCAGGTCTGAGGTCTGACGCCGCGATCGTGACACCTGGATAATCTCATATTGGAGCTTATACATTCAATATACAGTATGTGTTACACAAAATTACTTTGTATGGATCACTCAGTTTTGGGGATGTGTGTGCTATAAATATTACAGATTTTGTATTTTTCCTGCAGAGAATGGCAATATAGTTAAATCTATTCTTTACTGGAGTATCTCCATATGGATGGACTTAAACATTATCTGAAAGTGTTTGCCTAGTAAAGGGTTGTTTTGATCTTAAACAGTTTTTACCAACACCCTTTTCCCCTCATGCCCTTATCAAAATTTAAAGTGCATTATTTCTCAGACAATAGCCAGAAATATTGTACAGTCAATACAGAGTATGTAAGCAGCATATCAGACCGCAGTTTAAGATGGATAGAGAGGCAAGTTTTATCAATAAATAAAAATATTGTGTATTATTTCACACGCAATAGCCAGAAATATTGTACAATCTTTCGCACACTATGTAGGCAGCTTTAATGGATTGATGTAAGAGCTAGATATGAGGCAGGTTTTAGCAAGAAATAAAAAACAGAATGTATTAATTTTATCAAATAACCAGAAATGTTGTACAGTCAATGCATAGTGTAAAAGCCACAATTTAAGAAGAGATGAAGCAGGTTGTATCAAGAAACAAAAATAAGAGTGTCTCATTTCCCAGTCCAGTTTTGTTAGCCCACAATTTAAGAGGGGGGTATGAGGTATGTTTTATTAAGAAATAAAAACAATAGTGTAATATTTCTCACAAAATACCCAGAGCTTTTTGCAATTGATTTACAGTATGTAAGCAGCCTTGTTAGGATTCAATGCAGGAGGGAGAGACTGGGAAGGTTATATAAAAATATAAATTACAGCGTATTATTTCAAAAACAATTGCCAGAAATGTTGCACAGTTGATGCACAGTATGTAAGTATCTTTATTAGACCAAAATGGAGGAAGGAAAGACAAGGCTGATTTTATCTGAGCTGAGTGTATTTCTCAGACAATAGCCAGAAAAACTGTACAGTCAATGCGGACTATGTAAGCAACTTTATTAACCTACAATTTGATAGGAAGAGATGAGCTATGGTAATTGGGTGAACAAGGATGTGGTGCTTTGATGAACTTAAGAATGCAGTGATTTGATGAAGTAAGATGTATTGCACAAGTATGTGATCATTTGCTGCAAAAAAAAAAAAGAGCAGCTTGGCCTCCATCAGTTAGAGATTCATACCGCTGACCCAAAAAATAAAGAGTGATATGTGGTCGCATTAATTATTATTATTATTAGTCAGGATTTATATAGCACCAACAGTTTGAGCTGGTCTTTACAATATAGGGGGGAGACAGTGCAGTTGAAATACAAGCAGATTAGGAGGGCCCTGCATATAAGATTTTACAATCTAATAATTTGCCAGGTCTGCAAATTGCAAACAAACTGGGTTTGCATAGACCCATGCTTGACCCAAACCTGAAGCTCATTCCTAGTTGTAGCATACGGTTATACACATGTGTGTATGTTTTCTATCGATTTTAAGTTTTGTTAGTAGATCATCAAAGTATAAACCAATTATTGTGTCTATGTTTGACCAGCAAATATAGTGGAAAACTCAATACAGATTTCTTTTTTATATATTTTATGAAACCTTTTGACAATTGACAGTAATTGAAAACTAAGCTATTTCTTTCTCCCCTTTGTTCCCTGGAAAATCTACAGTGGTTCCAAGAAGTCATTTGTCAATTGTCTGATTGCAAAACTTTTGTGTGCAGCTTTCCATGGGCAGCTTTGCAGTTGAAGAAATCTGACTGCTTCTGGGATGATAATAGAGCTGTATAAGGGAAACTATTCACCTTTATCAGCACTTGCAGATATTTTGCTTAGCTAGCTGTTACCATACAATACAAATAAAAAGCATGGTTAAAAAAATAGAACAACTCTGCTAAGTGCAACTAAAATGACTCAAGTGAATTCTTTGATCATTCCATTAAAAAATTGGATTTGACCTAGACTCTTTATTATCATTGCTAATTATAACTAACACACTGCTTACGAAAGCCGATGTTCTATTGCTCTAAACAGTTTCTGTGGTATGTCAAATTATTCCAAGATAAGCATGTCATCATGAATAAGGAATGCAAGGAACATTTTTTTTTCACATCACCAGCAGGAAGTCTAAAATTGGTATAGTAAACACAGCCATAATATCGCTAATGATAACTTCTATTTAGACATTATCAAGACATTCTTTAACTCCTTTTACACTGCTTTATTTCATTATATTTGGAGAATACAGCAAAATACAATATTTGGAATATTTCTGTTACAGCTCCAAAAAGTATGCAAAATTAAAAATGGGGAAAAAAGAGTAATACAAGATAAACCACTCTATAGTGTAGTATATAATACTGTTATTATTATTATTATACAGGATTTATATAGCGCCAACGGTTTTCTCAGCGCTTTACATTATAGTGGGAGACAGTACAATAACAATGCAGTTCAATACAAGAGGGAATTGAGTGCCCTGCTCCTTGGAGCTTACAATGTAGGAGGGAAGGGTGAGTGGTACAATCGGTAAAACTGTGGGGGATGGAGTGGTTGGAAGAGTAGAGGATTCCAGTATTAGCAGAGGGCAGGCTAGGCTTCCCTGAAGAGATAGGTTTTCAATGATCGCCTAAAGGTAAGTAGAGTAGGTGATAGTCTGATAGATTGGGGTAGGGAGTTCCAGAGGATGGGTGACACCCTGGAGAAGTCTTGGAGACGAGCATGGGAGGAGGAGATAAGGGAGCTAAAGAGTAGGAGGTCTTGCGAGGAGCGGAGTGTACGGTTTGGGTGATATTTAGAGATAAGATCGGATATGTAAATTGGGGCAGTGTTGTGGATGGCTTTGTATGTCATAGTTAGTGTTTTCGAATTTTATCCGTTGGGCAACTGGGAGCCAGTGGAGGGATTGGCAGAGAGGGGTGGCAGATACAGAGCGGTTAGTGAGGTGGATGAGTCTGGCAGCAGCGTTCATGATAGACTGAAGGGGGGATAGCCTGTGACGAGGTAGGCCAATGAGGAGGGAGTTACAGTAGTTGAGGCGTGATATGACAAGGGAGTGAATAAGTTGCTTAGTGGTTTCCTGGTATAGGAATGGTCGTATCTTGGAGATGTTGCGGAGGTGAAGTCTGCATGATTTTGTCAGCAATTGGATCTGGGGCTGGAAAGACAGATGGGAGCCTAGGATTACACCTAGTACCCTGGCATGAGGGGATGGACTAATGATTGTGTTATCGATATTTATGGTGAAGTCAGTGGAGGGGGCATGGGCAGGGGGGGGAATACTAGGAGCTCAGTTTTGGAAAGGTTGAGTTTGAGGAAGTGGAGTGACATCCAAGCCAATATGTCACTTAGACACTGTACTGTTAAATGTTCTTGCATTTGTTTTCAGGAAATCAAAAAAGACAACTTCTCAGAGTACTGATATTGGACAAAGAAAACGTAGCAATGCACCATATCAGGCAAATGTAATTAACGTGTTACTAAACCCACAATGGTAAAATCAGTCTGTATATGGAGTAAAGCATGCTTGTTATACTTACTGTGGAACCTAAGGAGTTAATCCTCTGCATTGTGTAGAAACGCTGTTTGATCCTGACTTCTCTGATCCTCCCCTTCTTCCAGTGTCCCCCTCTTATCTCCTGATAAGACATATCGTGTTGAGTCACTCTGCACATGCTTAGTTTGGTGTGTATTGCTAGAGAGGCTTTTTTGTTTCTTGGGAGAGTGCATGTGATCAGCACAGCACCAATCAGCACTGTCCAGACAGAAGTCAGGGGTCCTGCATCCTCTTAGAAGAGAATGAAAACTATGAGCGTTAACATGTGCTCTGCTGGACACTGATAGAAGTCACAAGACTGCTCTAACTGCTGATGAGAAAAGGTATTTAGCAGTTTATATTTATTAAAATAATTGCACTTCCATGTTCTGTTTACTGTGGGAGACCAGATATAGTGAATGCAGGGTCCTGGGTTTAGTAACACTTTGAGCTGGAGCTCATGCACATGACTATTAAAATGTTTTCACTATTATCAGTAAAGCCTTGATATACAGTGTATTAATATTCTGTGGGCTTGAAATATATTTTATTAGTACAAATAGCTACTTTGATTACTGAGGAAATATAGTGGGTGTATAGTTGTCATGGGTAAGTGCACCTGGTCTGTTGACAAACTCTCTCTATTTAACTTATATACATGGAATTCTAAAACTACCTTTACCTAATTCCAACTACTATACCAATATATGTCCTCTCTTTATATGAGAGATAGAAAAACTTAGGTGCTTCAGCTGTTGTGGAACTACAAGTTGCAAAAGGAGTGTCAAAACTGTAACATCCACAGAAATTAACCTTTCCTGTTCTGTTTTTATAGCTTTTGTGTGATATACCTGGTGTTCCTGACAGTCCCTCTGATTTCTTATAAAAAAAACTGACCATACTAAGCAGGACAACACAGCATGGTCAGATTTCCAGCTGTGCTGGGTGCTAATCCAATGATCAAGCATGTGCTGACACTTCCCCCATGGTGTGGGTCCACAAATACTTTAAGGCTGGACAGTTTTGGGATCTGTTTACTAGATGCAGATGTCTTTTTTGGATCTTACAAAAATTTGAGTAATACAGTATATTGTGATTAATAAACAGTTGTGCAAATATTGTATGACAAAAAAAAGCAACAATCATTCATTTTTCCTGAGGAATCAATTTATTAATGAAATGAGTCAATCCTAGATGCCACATAAGAGAGAATATCATACACTTAATGAATTTGCATCCATTGTTGGGCTGTTATTCACTCATGGCAATGTAATTTTTTCTGTCGTTTAAATTGTTTAAAAACATATTGTATTGGTTATATGTCAGACTGGGGGGGTACAGTCGAAAGCCGGGGCATTGTCCTGCATGTGTGCATTTTCTGCTGGAGTGCAAAACAGCAGTTGAACACAGCCCCCTTATTATGTCCTCTCTGCTCTTTCACAGGTAAATGCTGCTGTCTCATCTCCATCTTAACCTCCCTGGCGGTATTCTCGAGTGTAGCTCGGGGTAAAGTTTCAGTACCACAAGTGGTAACCCCGAGCTACACTCGGGAATACCATGCGGCACTGCTCTGGGATCTCTTCTGCACTTACCTTGTCCTGCGCTCCCGCGATGTCCCTCCTGCAGTGTCCCCGGAAATGTAATCCGGCGGATGCCGGCATCTGTCTTCTGGGTTCCGTCCCCTGCGAGCGTCGGGACGTACGGAGGGACGGCACGGCGGGAAATTTCAAAATGACAAAAGTGACATTCACTAAAATCACATAGTAAAACATTACTGTATCAAACCATTTCACATACATTTTGTCCCGAGTGCTTTGTCCTGCGCCCTGCCTGCATTTTTACTGTTCTTATTGCCTGGAAACTGAGAAACGTCCATGGCGTCCCTTTAGGTCAAAAGCGGTTTTAGACCAGTTTGAGAACAGCGATAGTAAATCAGAACCACTTGCAGAATTGAGTGATAATGATTCGTGGGGAAATTCGTCATCAGACACTGAAAACAATTTTGCGACTTTGCTCAGTGATGTGCGAACTTGGAGCTATATTTCAAATTTCAGTGTTTTTGGTTTGATTATATTATTGAATTAAATCTATTATTATATTTTTTTTTTATGATTATTTATTAAATTATAATTTATGATTTTGTGTTTAAAGTTTTATCCTACCCGGGATGTTTACTAGACTCTTGTTCGGACAGATTTCAGTGAGTTATTCCTAAGAATTACAGGCCTACAATATAAAACACCAAATTTCCATGCAAAATAATGGTACCGCTTTCAGCACCACAAATCTGAAATAATCAAACCGCCAGGGAGGTTAAACTGTCTTATCGCTACGCACTGCCTTTCTGCAAACTTAGGGTAAATGCTGCCGTCTCATCTCCACCTTAAACTGTTTGTGGTGATTAATTCTCACCTCCTTTTGCCTTTCTGTGATCAGAGAATCAATCATCTTTTATGACCCTGGCCTGTGTCTGTGACTGATCTGGTTTTGATCAACCTCCCCCAAAATTCATGTGATCCTTATCAGTTCCTAATTGGGGCAGAGAAGAATTGCTCATTTGATCATCTTCCTATAAATTTAGACCTGCTTATGGGGGAGGTCACAGACAGGGGGTACAGTCGCAGACAGTGGCATTGTCCTGCATGAGTGCATTTTCTGCTGGAGTGCAAAACAGCAGTTGAACACAGCAGTTTAAATAAAGCAGCAAGAAGATACAACAAAGAACTCTACTGCACACTGGATGGACTGCAAGAAAACACCCTGGGAATCATCTCCTACAGGTCTGATTCCCACTCCATCTACCCTTTTATATGCCCCCTCTACTCCTTCTTTCCATATTACTATCCTCTGTTCTTAAAATCTTTCTTTACCCCTCTGCTCCACCCCAACATTTATACATATCACCCTCACTTCTACCATCTCCCTATTACTGCTCTTATCACCTCCTGCTAATACTTTACTCACCTGCTGACTCAAACACCAGGACAGTAAGGCATGTGCACTCATATACATCCCACTCCTATCTTACTTTACTCACTCTCCTTCTTCTCCTAACCGCTGGGGCAGGGGCGGACTGACAACTCATGGGGCCCCCGGGCAATAGGGGATCATGGGGCCCCTGTGTCCTTGCCCAAATTCAAAAAAAGCCTATATGAAAAAGGTACCAGGGGCATCTCATGGGGCCCCCTACTCACCCTGGGCCCTCGGGCAGTCCCCGAGTTTCCAAATGGTCAGTCCGCCCCTGCTCTGGGGATATCTCCCTGAAACCCTGGTCCTCCAATATCTCACCCACCACCAGACACCCACCTTCTTCCAGGAATAGCCACAATCCACTCAATTTAATCTCAATCCCCATGCTCCTAAAAAACATCCTTTTTCATGTGCACTCTGGAATGCCCACTCTGTCTATAATAAGCTCACCTCTGTCCATGACCTTTTTGTCTCCCACTCCCTCTACCTACTAGCAATTACAGAAACCTGGCTTCTAGCATCAGATTCTGCTTCTCTCACAGCACTTTCCTATGGAGGCCTTCTCTGTACTCACTCACCCAGACCCAGTGGTCGGAAAGGAGGTGGAGTTGGTTTGCTTCTATCCCCACTGAGCACCTTTCTCCCTTCCCCTCCCTTTCTATCTTTCTCTTCCTTCGAGACTCACTGCATTTGGCTTTTTTCCCCCATTTCTCTGAAGATTGCAGTGATCTATCTGCTACCAGTGTCAAACTTTCTTGATTACTTCTCTGCTTGGCTACCATATTTTCTCTTCTATGAAATACCCACTATCATTCTTGGAGATTTTAATATCGCCATTAATGTGAACAACCCAGCTACATCCCAACTCTTCAACCTAACCTCATCTTTTGCCTTAACACAGTGGACACAGTTCTCCATTCTGATGGGAATACATTAGACCTTGACCTTTTTTCTCACTCCGTAGAACCTCACAAAAAAACCCTTTCCTCATTTTGATCACAATGTCATCACCTTCACAGTGTCCTTATCTTCAAACACCTATCCCTCCAAACAGCAATTACCCGCAAAAATCTTCACAACTTAAACTCTTTTCCACTCTGCAACTGATCACATCTATGACAGAATCTCTCCCCTGTCCTGCCCTGACCTGGTCACTGCTGTCTGCAACAGTTCACTTTCATCCACACTAGACTCACTTGCACCTCTAACTACATGAAGTATCAGGCTCCGACCATTACAACCTTGGCAGACTGATGACACCAGAAATCTTAGGAGACACAGTCATGCACTGGAGCGACCGTGGCGTAAAACCAAATCCCAGCAAGCATTCACCCTATATAAATCTGCTTTCTTAACATACAATTCCTCCCTCCATGCTGCCAAACAAGCCTACTCTGTCACTCTTATTAATATCTTGTCATCCAGTCCTCGTTTTCTCTTCTCTACTTTTAACTCTCTACTTTCTCCACCTCCACCCAGTAACTCACTCACTGCTTATGAGATTGCCAATCATTTCAAAAATAAGATTGATGCAATTCATAGGGGCATCTCCACTACACAGACATCTATCCAACTTAGCATACCTTATACTAAACCTCCCTCAACACTTTCTTCTTTTCACCTTGCTACTACTGAAGAGGTCACTAAAGTTTTCTCAGAAGCCCATCTCACCACATGCCCCCGGAACCTGTCCCCACTCATCTACTACTGTCACCCTCTTCTGTTCTATGCTCCCTCACTCACATCTTCAATTTCTCCCTCTCTACTGGAGCCTTCCCCAACCTTCTATAGCATGCACAGATCACTCCCATACTTAAAAAGCCCTCGTTTGACCCCACCGATCTGAACAACTTAAGGCCCATCTCCCTGCTCCCACGTATCTCTAAACTCTTAGAACACTTAGTCTACAATTGCCTGAGTTCCTACCTCACTGACAACAACCTTCTTGAACCGTTACAGTCTGGCTTTCGCTCACTACACTCCACTGAAACTGCCCTACTAAAACTCACTAATAATTTGCTAACTGGCAAAACCTATGTCCACTACTCTATACACTTACTACTTAGCCTCTCTGCAGCTTTTGATACTGTTGACCATTCCCCCCTCCTCAAAAAACTCCACTCTCTTGGCCTCCAAGACTCTACTCTCTCCTGGTTCTCCTCCTACCTATTTCAGAGCTCCTTCAGCCCTACCTATAACTCTGTCTCCTCCTCTCCATTACCTTATTATGTAGGAGTCCCTCAAGGTTCTGTCCTTGGACCTCTTCTCTTCTCTATCTACACCACTTCCCTTGGTCACTTGAAAAACTCCCATGGTTTTAAGTACCATCGCTATGCTATCTTTCTACTCCTCACCTCACCACTTCAGTCTCCTCTCACATTACTAGCCTACTAAGTGACGTATCAGCATGAATGGCACTCCACTTTCTCAAAATAAATCTTTCCAAAATGGAGCTTATACATTTCCTTCTAGCCCTTACCCCCTCCCCTGACTTCTTCATCAAGATCAATAATACTACCATTAGTCCCTCCCCTCATGCCAGGGCACTAGGTGTAATCCTAGACTCCCAAATGTCCTTTCAGCCCCAAATCCAATCACTGTCCAAATCTTGTAGACTTCACCTCTGGAATATCTCCAGGATATGCCCGCTTTTAACCTCTGAAACCACTAAGCAACTTATTCACTCCCTTGTTATCTCTCACCTTGACTATTGTAACTCCCTCCTCATTGTTCTATCCCCTCTTCAGTCTATCATGAATGCTGCTTCCAGACTCATCCACCTTTCTAATGTTCCATATCTGCCATCCCTCTCTGCCAATCCCTCCACTGGCTTCCCATTGTCCAATTAATGAAATTCAAAACATTAATTAACAATAACATATAAAGCCATTTATAACTCTGTCCCAAATTACATCACCAATCTTGTCTCCAAATACCAACCAAACTGTTCTCTCTGCTCCTCCCACAGCCTCCTGCTCTCTAGCTTCCTTGTCTCCTCCTCCCATGCTCATCTTCAGGACTTCTCCAGAGCCTCCCTTATCCTCTGAAACTCTCTACCCCAATTTATCTGACTATTGCCTACTCTGCCCACTTTTAAGAGATCTCTGAAAATGTATCTCTTCAGGGAAGCCTATCCTGCCTTCAACTAATAACCAAATCTTCTATTTCTCCTATCAGTTCATCCTCCACAGTTATTAACTTTTGTACCGCCAGCCCCTCCCTCTTAGATTGTAAGCTCCAAGGAGCAGGGCCCTCCTAACCCTCTTGTATTGAACTGTGTCATTGCTGTATTGTCTCCCTATATATTTTAAAGCGCTGAGCAAACTGTTGGCGCTATATAAATCCTGTATAATAATAATAAGAATAATATGTACTGTAAATACTTGTGTATGATCTCTTGGTGGCACACAAAGTCTTATTCTTTTACCGCACATTATGTAGTTGTGGGGGTGTTCAACTTGAATTGATAAAACTGTTAACTGATAACAGTGTGGCAGAGGCAGTGTGTGCAGGAAGTTCGGAGCTCACTGGATTTTTGGCATGATTCACAGGTATATGTCTGCATTTATCTTGTTCAGATTTTTTATTGATTCAACAAAGAGCATGATACAAACAAATGGAAAACAGGCCAACATATTACACTAAGCATTTCCAGGTAACAAAGAAGTGGTAGAGAAATGTCATGTTTTAATTTATCCAACATATAGATTACAAAACCTTTTCAATTGTATTTTTAACAGATCAAAATAGAGCAAATAAGAGTAAATTGATAGGGTTTATACTGTATACACTTTACGGATTTGTTTTAGAAACTAGTTGAATTTTAGGGTTCGGAATTGGGGAAGAGGCTTAAAGCAGACCTGTATTCATGCAGAAAGTACCATTTAATGCATCTAGACAAGCATATGATTTTTGAAAATGTCATCTCCATGTTATTTACATTTTATTTGGTTCAGTTTTTGCTCAAGAATTGGTTCCTGCCAATCTGTCTAGTAAAAAGCAGAGTGGTAATCTAAACAATTGGCTAGGGGAATAATTCAGAACAACATGCCCATTCAGTAACACCTACTACAAACTGTGTAAGGGTTTGTCAACATCCTGCTTGTTTTTATGCACTAAGACATTTTGAATAGACTGTCAATGCTCCTCAACACATGGAAAATTGCAAACAAACTATGTATGCAAGACAGCACACTGCACCACAGAACATTGACATCAGTGCATTGTATTGATGTAACTAAAACTGTAATTGCCTATGGTTTCGGTGCCAGGAGAGCACACAATAAAGTATTTATAATGCACTAAATCTGCAACAGGTAAAAAACATCACAGTTAATTTGCAGTCAGCTGCAGGAAGCCTAATGTATTGATGTATTATATATCCAGACAGAGAATGTATATCATGGTTTAACACTTTCCTATATGGAAACCAATTATTCCATTCCACCTCAAAAGAGGTGGACTTGTAATCCATAATGGTATATCTTTACGTGTCCAGATTGTTCACAGTGTGTGGACAATAAATGTTTTTTCAAATAAATCCTTAGCTGTTCATATTAAATGGCACTAACAGGTTGCTAGGAACCTTACAGCTTCCAGAGGTCTGTATGGATAATGAAAGAGACAGCCAGACAAACATTACAGTAGTATCTTTTCCTGCAATTGTTTAGCTCAATTGTCTTAGGGAGAGGAAGTTAGGGATACAGAATTCCCAAGAAAAGCAGCAAAAACTCCCTCTTGTCAGTAGACTTCTAAGTGAACTCTTTAGGCTCATACAGGTTTACATAGATAACATCGTTGTTAAGGTTGAATAAAGACACCAGTCCATCCAGTTCAAGCTGTGTCGGAAATATCTTCCAGTATTTTTTTACTTCTGCCAGCTGTAGAAATCTTTATGTCTATAAGCCCAGAAAGGAAGCTATATTTCAGGGTTTTGAGTCTGCTATAAGATGTGTTAGGACTGTATTAATAAGGCCTCATTTTTGAGCTAAGTGTCTTTGTCTTTTTCTCCCTAAAGTGCATTCATAGAAATACGTCAGTCACAAACATCTACATGAAAATTTTATATACTTTACTACTGCATTATTTGTGCATGTTTGTTTATCTATGAATTCTCTTTGATACATTTGTAAAATCTAAACGAAAAAATTAAAATAAGTATATTGTTTTAAGTTGTACACTTCCACCTGTCATTTTACATTTTTTTAAAAAACAAAAACATCTAGAAAAAACGATTGTGTGAAAAATATATAATTCAGGCGTTCATTGGTCTCAGCATCCCATCTTTTAGTTTTACTAGTTTGGCCTGCAGC